TGTTGAGGTCCACTGATGCTACGCTGACTGTTTTGACCTGCATTTGTTGATGTGTATGGAACAGGAGAGCTAGGTCATCTGTGAAGTCTAAATCGTCTAGGTGCATCCAGGCTGTTTATTGTATCCCGTGCTTCCTCTGAGAAGCATAGGTCTTCATAGTCCAGACAACCACCAGAAGGAAGAGGAAGGTGGGGTGTAGACAGCTTTGTCTGACACCGGTCATTACTTGGAATGCATCTCTCAGCTGTCCTCTATGCACGACTTTGCAGTGTAGTCCATGGCATGAATTACGGATAATGTGAACGATTTTCTCAAGTACACCGTAGCGTCAAGGTTTCATAACGTTCTCCTATTCATGATGTCAAATGCTTTTTCATAATCTAGGAAATTGATGTATAGTGATGAGTTCCGTTTAACCGATTGTTCAAAGATGATCTGTAGTGTTGCGATTTGGTCTGTACATGATCTATCCTTACGGAATCCATCCTGTTGATTTCGAAGTTGGGCGTCTACTGCGTCTTTTATCCGGTTCAGCAACACTGTTGAAGACTTTTCCTGGTACTGACAGTAGTGTGATGCCTCTGTAGTTTTCACATTTGCTCAGATCGCCTTTCTTTGGGATCTTGATGAGGTGTCCTTCTTTCCAGCCCGTCGGCACTTGTTTCTCCTCCCAAATCTTCTTGAATATAAGGTTAAGCATGTTTGTAGTTACTTCAATGTCTGACTTCGGTGTTTCAGCTGGTATATTGTCGAGTCCTGCTGCTTTCCCGCTCTTGATTTGTCTGATTGTCATCCTGATTTCTTCGGTCGTTGGTGCAGTGACATCTTTTGGGAGGTCTTTGGTTGCTGCTTCAATGTCCATTGGATTAACTGGAGCTGGTACATTCAAGAGTTCCTCAAAGCACTCTACCCATCTGCTCCTCTGTTCTTGAATTTCAGCGATTGGCCTGCCTTCTTTCTCCTTGACCGATCTCTCTGGTTTACTATATTTCCCTGCTAGTTTCTTCGTTCTATCATATAGCTGTCTCATATTTCCTTCTCTTGCAGCTCTTTCCGCTGTCGTTGCTAGTTTGTCCACGTATTTCTGATTGTCGGCTTTAATGCTCTTCTCCACTTGTTTGTTTGCTTCTGTGTATTCAGCTTGTGGCTTGGTTTTCTGTGTTGTAATTTGGCTGTTACTAATCGCTGTCTTCTTGTTCTTCCTTGCTTGAATCTTGTCCAGTGTCTTCACAGAGATCCATTCCTTATGATAATGCTTGTTGCGGCCCAGAATCTCCTGACATGTTGAAATTAATGCTTCTATGATACATTTTCAGTTGTCCTCCATAGTAGTTTCCTCTTCCTTCAGTAGATCTTGTAAGGCTTGGAACCTGTTGTTGAGAATTATTTTGAATTCATTGAGTTTGTTAGTATCCCGTAGGAAGGCTTTATTGAACCTTTGTAATGCTGTTCCCCCAGTTGTCCAGTGTTTCTTTAGCTTCACTTTCATCATGGCCACAATCCGGTGATAATCTGAAGCTATGTCAGCTCCTCTCCTGGTTTTCACGTTTTTCATTGTGAATTTTGTACTGATGCAAATATGATCTATCTGGTTCTCTATGGTGTGGTCCAGTGAGATCCATGTAGCTTTGTGTATTCGTTTGTGTGAGAATATTGTGCCGCCTATGACCACTTTGTTGAATGCACATAGATTTGCAAATCTGTCACTATTCTCGTTTCTCTCTCTCAGTTCATGTCGTCCCATGTTATCTTCATATTCGGTGTTGTCTATTCCGACTTTGGTGTTTAGATCTCCTATCAGAATGGTAAGGTCCTTTATTGGGCACTTCGCCATGATTGGTTGCAGCCTTTCATAGAATTGATTTTTATTGTCGTCGTTGCTATCATTGGTGTGTGCATATCATTGGATAACATTCATTGTGCTCTCCTCCTTTGTTTTGAATGATGCTTTGATGATTCTGGATCCATGAGATTCCCATCCTACAGGTGCGTTTCGTGCTTCTTTTGACAGCAACACCTCTCACGTACCTAACTTTTACTCCAGGCGGAGTTATAATAAAAATAATATTGATCTACATCTAATATAGTTACTTAATAGTTATCTAATCGGAATATGTGTAATAATAATTCATAAGTAATTCCTGTCAGCTACCATTCATTTATTCTTCGATAGGGTGTAGTCGGAGTGGCGAGACTATAATTTGTGGATGAACCAATCAGATTTACGATAACAGGTCTTGAATTTTGGCGCGAAATCAATTCATTCATTTGGCTAAATAGAGTTTTGTCATTATAGCCGGTATTAGTTCGTGATGAAAACCCTATATCTGATTCCTAACCCTAACTATCAACTGTAAATATTAATTGTTATGACCTTGAATCGCTTTTACCCCGTGATACTTGTTATGACTTCACCTTGATCTGCCTAGACTAAACTATGACCTTGACGCGTTAGGCTGAGTGGCTTAACCTTGAGTCTAATACGCGTGAGTTCGAGATGGGGTAGAGAGAACTATTCTAAATCCTGATTAGTTGGCAAGCCCGCAAGTGAAAGAAGACAAGACAGTTGGAACACTAAACTCTGAATTCTCTGAATTCGGATTACTACAAAAATGTACATGAATAAATAAGTGCATATCTTGACCACGACGTACAATAATTTGGAAAAATACAGTTATGCCCGAAACAGGGAATTAGGGTAGAAAATATAGTGCAAAATATAATGTTTAAATTACAATATTTTTGGAACAAAAAAGGGTATGCTAGTGAATGATACATAGAACGAAAGCTCGTGTTATGTAGAATAAGATAGGGACAAAAATAAATATAAGTGTTTTACAGGTTTTGAATGAAATACAATAACGTCCCAAGAAAATAGCTTTCGTAATTGTCTGGCTTCTTAATTCCCCGTTCATAACACCTTCCCCCTTAAAAAAGAGAAAAAAAATATGGTTAGTTACTATATACAGGTAAGTGCTGAGATATCATCATTTATATCTTCCTTCGGAAACGTATGTTCTCCTCTTTGGGTCTACCTGTAGAATATCTGGTCTTCTGCGTTTCCGTGATGCTTTCCTAATAGGACCTCGTTCATGTTGCGCAGTCTTCTGAGTTGCTGAGCACTTTATGTCGAAACTGTCCAGAATGATTCTCCACATTGAGTCTAATTTCTCGGTTTTCTGTGAAGTGCCAGCATCTCCCAGTATGTGGTTGACATGGCGTGTCCACTTCTGTCCTTCAACTTCCACCACATACATTACGTTCCCTTGTCTCTTAAGTATGCGTCCACTGGTCCATTGTGGAGGTGAATATCGGAAACCGCGGACGTATACTTTTTGATTCTCTTGGAAAATTCTGCGTTTCGCCCCATGATGGCGATCAAATTGGTTTTCCATCTTCCTGTTTCTTTTTCCGATGTCTACTTGCTGTGGTTTCATGGCATCGAGGGCAGTTCTTACTTTTCTACCAAACATAATTTCTGCTGGGGACATTTGATTTGGTGTTGATGGATTTGGAGTTGTTCTATAGACCAAGAGAAAGTCATCAAGAATCTCCTCTATCTTCCCCTCCCCTTTTGCCTTCAGTAGCGCTCTTTTGAAGGTATCTACAAACCTATCGGCCTGACCATTCGAATGTGGATGGTACGGAGGTGAATGGACATGTTTGACTCCAAACCTCTTGCAGAAATCTGAGAAGATGGAAGAAATAAACTGAGTGCCGTTATCCGTCACGAGAACATCTGGAACTCCAAAACGGGAGAATAACTGCCGTAGCTTCATGATAGTCTGTTGTGAAGTGATTTGATTTATAGGAAAAATCTCCGGCCATTTTGAATAAGCATCAACACAAACGAGGAGGTACGTACCCTGGAATGGGCCAGCAAAATCAACATGTATACGCGACCAAGGTTCTTCTGGAGATGGCCAGGAATGTAGTTCAGCTTTTCGTGGACACTTAGAAACCTCAGCACATTTTCTGCACGCACGCACGAAATATTCGATGTGTTCATCAATATTAGGCCAATATACATAACTCCGAGCAATAGCTTTCATTCTTCCAGTACCTGGATGGGCTGTATGCAGTTGTTTCAGGACGAGTGAGCGTAAGTTATACGGAACCACTACGCGATCAGCAACCATAATACAGTCATTTACGATGGATAAAGATTGGCGTCGTTGATAATACTGTTACAGTTCATGAGATGTTATACATGGGGGCCAACCACGCTGGATAAATGTAGATAATCGTCTTAAGATAGGATCGCGGCGAGTGTGTTCAGCGATTCGAGCAGCTGTCACTGGAAGAATTTGTCGAAGATGGTTTATGTAAGATACGGACGACAATTGAGAGGAAGCAGAAGACTTTGATGTAGACATAACATTAGAAAGAAGTACATGAGATTCCGAAGTCTCACTAGCGCATACTTTGTCTGAAGTATTCGATTTGGAAATTTTATGAGAAGGCAATGAATCGGCGGTATTTGATTTGACATGGTGAGAACACATAACATTTGAATTGTTTGATTCAGAAAGATCATAAGAACATGTTTCATCAGAAGCATTTAATTCGTTAATATCCAGAGAGGATGATTCGTCGGAGGCATTTGATTTAGAAAAATATCATTAGGGATTTGGATAGACTCATAGGAAACATTTTGAGAACATACCTCATCTAATAATTTATTCAAAGTATCAACATGTTCAATCCAATCTAATCCCAATAGATCTAAATCGTGTCGATTTGTTAGATAACAAACATCTGTAAACTTACTTCCCATAAGTTGAACATTGCATAGAACCTCTCCTGTCAACTTTACTATGTCTCCTGACGCATTTCGGGCGACATGTTCCGTCGGTCGGATGGATGGGCATCCTAACTTGTACCATGTGTTCTTTGAAATCAACGTGACATCAGAAGCAGTGTCCAACTGAAGTCGTATAAGTTTTTCATTTACTAATAAATTTACAAATTTCCGCCTACTTTTAAATCCAACTTTAAAGGTTGGAAACGTGGTTTTAATTTGACTGTTTGATCGTTGCTTTGAATTTTCACTACGATGTTTAGTCTTGCGTTTATTTAACGAACAATGACCTTCTTTGTGGCCAATGCGATGACATTTGCGGCATTTATGATTCTTAAACGGACAGAATTTTGCGAAATGCCATGCTCCGCAGGACCAGCATGGTGATGGGGGGTTGGCAGGTTGTTTCCTGCTTGTACAGTTTTGTTTCGATGATTTTATGGATCGGAGCGCATTAATTGAATCAGAACCGGAAGGTTTAACCTTCTGTTGCACCATCGCAGTGTCATGCTTGAGATTAAGTAACCGCTGACATTCGGTTGTAACCATTTGTAATGTCATATTTGGTTCTTGTTCAATGCGTGCCAACATTCTGGTACGGACATCTGCATCTTCTTCATTCTTTAGACCACATATGAAAATCAAGCATTTAAATTGGTCCGCTGTGATTTCGTTTATTTTGAAGCGTTCGCACTGTCGATTTACCTTCCCGGCATACGTGAGGTAATCGTCCTCTGGAGGTTTCGTTATTTGGAAGCATTTATAGCGAGTATTAAATAATGAGGACTGTTCATCGAAAATATCAGATAGAATCTGAACTGTGTCTTTGAATGATACCTCTCTTGGATTTTGCGGTAAGATAAAATTCACATATTTATTATATTCCTGTGTTCCCAGTCTTCTTAAAAGTAAGCGGACTTTCGCTGCGTCATCAAGATGCGAGCATTCAACGCGGAAAATATCTTCACAACGGTGAACCCACGAACTGAAAATGACATTAGCTTCAGGATCATACTGGAATTCAGAAATAGAATTTATGATGCTTTCATGCTTATCTGATTTACAAGTTGACGACGACTGTAATGAGAACATTTGGGCCAATGCATCCAAAAGCTTCATTTGATTTGCATCATTTTGTGCTTGCTGCATTTGAAGAATAGTTTTAAGGTCATCCAATGAAACAGGCATATTTTACTGGATCAATCAATATAGGAAAGAAAAAAAATTCTCCGTCGCCAGTTGTTATGACCTTGAATCGCTTTTACCCCGTGATACTTGTTATGACTTGACCTTGGTCTGTCTAGTCTAAATTATGACCTTGACGCGTTAGGCTGAGTGGCTTAACCTTGAGTCTAATACGCGTGAGTTCGAGATGGGGTAGAGAGAACTATTCTAAATCCTGATTAGTTGGCAAGCCCGCAAGTGAAAGAAGACAAGACAGTTGGAACACTAAACTCTAGATTCTCTGAATTCGGATTACTACAAAAATGTACATGAATAAATAAGTGCATATCTTGACCACGACGTACAATAATTTGGAAAAATACAGTTATGCCCGAAACAGGGAATTAGGGTAGAAAATATAGTGCAAAATATAATGTTTAAATTACAATATTTTTGGAACAAAAAAGGGTATGCTAGTGAATGATACATAGAACGAAAGCTCGTGTTATGTAGAATAAGATAGGGACAAAAATAAGTATAAGTGTTTTACAGGTTTTGAATGAAATACAATAACGTCCCAAGAAAATAGCTTTCGTAATTGTCTGGCTTCTTAATTCCCCGTTCATAACATTAATTTTAATTCCTCACACTGTTTTATAACCGTCATTTATCTGTAGTATGTAGGCTGACATTCCCTAGATCTCTTTAGTGCCGTTCGAAGGTCGTCCATAAATTATAGTCTCATTGGCGGAGTTTTCGAATCTTTATAGTCCTAATTATGTATTTGTGATAGGTAATTCTGAATGTCGTCTGGACACTGAAGAAAAATATGGTAAATGACTGAATTATTTAGTCCAGCTTATTACGTAGCTATTATAGGTCAATTTTAATAAAGTAGATTTGTGTATTAACTCTATTCGACCCTTTCCAACTAAATGCTTACCAATGTACTAGATAAATTACCCGACAGGAAATGTCGTTGAAACCTCTCCACAAGAGTGATTGAATTTGTAAATACACATTGAGGTGGCGAAATCAGGTCATTTATCATGTGAACAACTTTTGTTGATCGACTAAAAATTCTTGGATAACAGATCTTTTATACAACTCAAGTAATTTAATTTTCAGAGCCTATACCTTCATTATTTGTTTTTGTGATATGAGGAATAACATGCGATTTCATTCTGAAATAGTAAATCAATTTGAATTCCCAACTCATTTAAACAGCTATAGCCTTTTTTATGTTTACAAATCGTATAAAACTTATACGTGTCGCTGGGGTTCTAAACACTGAAGTTCGGTACTTAGAAAATCCTAAACTTCTACTTGTATTGTTTGTCGATTAACAGGTAATATGTGATCAGTACTTATCGAATTCATACAACAGAATATTATGAAATATCGTTAAAAATTAAGTCATTCAAGTAAATCGCAACAGTTATTTTACAGTCTATTTTACTTATTACGTTTATACAACGTATGAGATGTTCAAATCCATGTTGTCATTATTGTATTATCTCTTCTTAAAACTTAAAATAATATTTCAATGAAATTTCAATCTTCATTCTGTTTTTAGAGTTCTCTGTCAAAAGTAACACAAATAACACTCTCCATAAATTCGTAATGCAAGGAACTGTTTTCAATTGATCTGTGGAATAATACTGGTTTATTTTATGGAGTTAACAATTATGTTATCGCATAATTCGAATCACGAAAAAACACCTGTATGTGAAAATTTTCCTAGCAATACAACCGATGGCTTCATCAAACCTTCTTTACCTCCGTTGATTTCAAACATTTTAGACCTGTTAACCGATGAAGAACTAAAACGTCGTTTAGAATCTGTCTTGTTAGACAGAGAATCGGAACTATTAGAATCTCAGTCAGCCTGTAAGGATGCACAGAATGAGGCCGTAGAGTCACGGAAACAGTTAGTCAAACTTGAACTTGAATTGGCAAATATCAAAAGCGCTGCAGAAATGTTAATGACTGAACATGAGGATGCCTTATTAACCTTGAAAAGACAGTATGATGAAGAGTTGTCCTCGCTGCTGATAGCTTCTGAGCAGGTGAATTTTTGGTTAGAGAATTGTGCGTGACTCTGCGCTAATTTTTCAGTGTGGAATCATCTGTTAACATTGTTTACTTATATACATCCTGTAGTAGACTTCTTGTGATATGCATTAGTTTTATTTCATCCAATCAACACAAGTAGTGTGATTTGATTAAAAAACCCATTTCTAAAATCATACATATAGTTCGCTTTTTAATCTTGAAGAGAGCAGTAATAAAGATTTGAGCCGAATAACATGAATTCATTTTATTTAGTGGGCTACTTACAAACTATAATATTTAAAATCAACATTAACATAGTTTACACACTGATAATAATGAACCGGCATGGTGAAGTTACGGTTAGAATAAAGGTAATAAAATTAGGAAAATATGCAGTGCTGCAAATAAATACAGTAATTTAGAGAAGATTCTAGAACACAGAAATAATTACACAATCAAGCAATTTATACCTTTATTTGAATCCTCATTCCATCATAATGATACATATTCACACCTAACCGATTTCACTGTACTAAGTATGTCAACTTTCACGATAATTCTAAGATAGCATAGGTTGTAAGCAGCTGACTAAACAAAATAAATTCATATTGTTTTGCCCAAATCTTTATTCTTGCTCTCTTCATTGTATAATACATCGGTCTGTTAAATGGTTTTGAACTGTTAGTTTTTGAACAGCCGAAGCATCTGAAGCAAATGTATTGACGAAGTGCAAGAAGAGTAATTGTTTTCAGGCAAAAGTTATGGGAAACTATGTGTTCGATCACTTATCAAAATGGTTGTTATATACACTCTCAGAAACAGCCTATGAAATGTATGCAATATTTATAACCATCTGGATACAATTTCGCTACTTTCTAGTTCATCGTACTGTGCAGATCGTGCAAAAACATAAACTTACTATCGAGGCGCAGGTCAGGCATTGGATAATCTTTTCCCCCCTTCAATCAAATGCTTGAACATTCGTACATATTTTAGGCCAATAATCATTGTACTTTATGATATCAATGTGGCACCTAATTCCTTGGATGGGATTTTACTCTGAAATTATCTGTTGAATAGTGTTTTGTTTGAGTTTATTTAAATGTTCATCGCTCGTTTCACAAGAGTGAGAGTATACAACCACCTTTCCCCATTGTTCAAGTACAATACTGAAATTACATAGGGTTACTTAGTTTTAGACTCCGTCTTGAATTTTCCCGTCGACAGGATTCTGGAGACAGCTTTGGGCGAATTATGTGGTAGTAGTGGTGTAGAGAAAAACTTGTTTGGTTATAAAGTTTCAGACGGACAGTTCTACCATACGGTAATTCCAAATATATGATGGTTAGATGATTTCTATCCTTGATGAACCTATCCAGTTATCGTTGTCCCTGAAAGTTTACTTTCGCTGTGTCAGTCATCGTGAGACCTAGCAACATGTGTTTAGTCACATTAAAGAGAATCATCCTAATGTTTTTATGACCCTAGAACTCTGTCCTCGGTAGCTTTATCACATCTCACGTACGTCCACCCAGTGACTCCCAAACTAAGGATTATTTCCAATTGCTAAAAATTTTTGGAAAAATTACACTTTAGAATATGGAGCGATATAATTAAAGGATACTTATGTTACATTGTCATCTGTTAACATACGATGACTTCGGATACCTTCATAGACTAATGTCATGCCTTAACTCATCTATGCTTAGTCCTTTTACAAACTATTCTTGATCCATCAAGTGTATAGTGATAAAGGTAATGTATGTAGGCGTTATTTTTAATGCAGCCACCCCAATGTTTCAACCATATTTAATCAATTTTACAGAGCCGTCAGTAACCGAATACCTACTAGTTAAGCATGCCTTTAAACTTTATTGGCTGTCTCATAGCTATTCTGAGGACTATCACTCAGTGTAGTGGTCCTTTTATAATCGGTCAAATATCTCTCAGACACTATAGTTGGAGTTTTTTTAACGCAACTCATAATAGTTTAACTATCAGAATGTGTTTTGTGGAGATTTTTAGAAATTTTCACAGATTGAACTCATGAGTCAGTTTAAGCTAGACCAGGTTTTCAATGGTGGTCTAGCTTCAACTGACTCATGAGTTCAATCTGTGAAAGTTTAACTATCACCTGAAGTAATATTGGTGTGTTCATAACGGAAACTAGTTAGGTCATTTTATGGATCAAGTTCTTAAAACTTCAATATACACTGGTCAAAAGTGATTTCTTTTCAAAATCAATTAATTGTGTTTTAATAAATTATACTATCGATACTAATAAATTGAGTGAATTGAATCAAAATAAACTGAAAACTGGTATTCAAACTACACAGATTTTTAAATGCATTACAATCTGAATTATTTGTCATTTAATTAAATGTTGTAACTCAATGATTAAGCTATACTTCAAGGCTTTTGTTTATTGTATCATAAACCAGAATGATACTTTTTGATTAAAATTTGACACTGGATGAGATAATTCAATTTCCAGAAATACTATATTTCTCTAGTATCTTCTAAAGTATGGCTTATCAGATGTTGCAAGACACAATAAGCATGTGATTTGTTTTACTCTTCTTTCATAGTACTTTCATTGATTATTAATAATTTATTGGTTCTATTTTATGTGCATGTACACTGACATTATTGTAAACCTTGACCAGTAAGCATGATAAATATTTTCTGTGATTTTTATATTACAAATGTTTTCTTTTTATCCGTTAGTGTGTATTAGGATTCTATTGGATATTACCCCATCCAGATTTAACTTGAACGATTCTCTGTAGTTATAGATATATGAATAGGAATGATTCATTTTTTTAGCATGTAAGGGCTGGTACTATGTAAAGCACATATAGGTTATTCTAGTCTCTGGACATATCAATCTATTCAATCTTCTCAAGCCATATTTTTACCCTGTCACTTATTCTCTTATTAACCCGTATTGTTTTTTTATATGAACGTATGTGTATGCATTTCTTATCTTACTCATCACACATCTGTAACTTATTTTGTCTGACTATAAATATCGAGTCACACATGATTAAGACGAGCTCGCTTACATGCCTTCTTCACCGTGCGTCGTTTCGTTTCTCTCTTTTCTCTTTACTTCTTTCGCCCCGTCTCTCTGACTGTCTGTTCTGATCAACCATTGTACAAAATATACGTATTCAAAACTTCATTCTCGTATTTGGCTTATTTAATTCCGTTATTCCTTAACGTAATTTAAGTCGATGGTTATATATGAGGATTGGCGACATGTTTATTTCGGTAACAAGCGGCAAACGATCTACCTGGAGTCAAATATAGGTCCATTAAAAGCCATTATTAGTAACTCTGGAAATTCTAGTGTCCCATTTGCTCAATTTTGTCTTGCTAACATAAATATGAATAGTTAAGTGAAGTACTTTAAGCATTTACACCCACAATGTTTTGTCTCAGTAGATGTTAGATGAACCTAAACTCGATAGTTTAGCCCAACCATATAATTTTTAACTCATCACAAATATAATTTTCTTCACTATTTTTCATTTATCATAGGGTTATTTACATCAGTTTATAGATGGTCAGTGTTCAAACGATACATCACATTCATCACCAACTGAAAATGAGAATTGTCCAACCTCCAAATCATCACTTCTTATCACTGAAAAAAAGTCAGCTCAAAGTTTAGCTAATCAAGCATTGGATAAAGTAGAGAAATTAGTTCGACGTGTTGGTCATAAAGCACTAACAAATAATTTTATTTTAAACAAATCCACTGTTTCATCTTTTTGGGCAAATCATGACATTGGTTCAAACAAAGAGGAGGATAATGATGATGACTATATACGAGCAATAATTGAACCTTACGAAACAGAAATTACACGTCTACAACAAATTTTGATCAATGCTTCGATTCCATTCACTAAGACAACATTACATCCTAGTATGTGTTTAGTAATTCATTCATTATGTTTATTGTCCTAAATTTTTATGATTATATAAGTAATTGACTTTTGTAGGTTTTTTTGACAAGTAGATTCAATTTAAAACAGGTATACAGTGTTACTGATAGTTATGACTGAACAATGAACATGTCTTTAGCCTCTTTTTACTGAAAGATTATTTGAAAAGGTAAGGAGTTAATTATTGACCACCATAATAGTACAACCTCAATTATTATAGGAAGACGCATTGTATAAAGACTATTGACACTAAACTCAATTAATTATAAACTTACCTAGTCGTTTTATTATCTCTATTGTAAAAGCGTTAACATGAATTTTCATAATAATAATAATAATAATAATAATAATAATAATAATAATAATAATAATAATAATAAACTGACATATTATAACAGACAAGTTGCCCCAATGTCATCAACTTGTGATATGAGACACTTAGTGAAAAATTAATTCGTTAATAACTACATCTGACTACAGTAGCTAACATTTGATACTAAACACTCTGTTTCAACAGAGCGTCCTTTGTTTGGACAATAGAAAAGATGGTAACTTTTAACTACATGATGTTTTAGATCAGGGGGGAAATGAATTCAGAAATGAAGTATATAAATTATGTCATTCATTCAGACTTGACTGTATTTATGTTGAAAATCTTTATTGTGTATTATTAGTTGTTAAGTTTTGCATTTTTCCATTGTTAATATTCTAGTTTAAATTTATCTGTTTGTGTTACCACAGGCGCTTGTTTTTAGGTGAATGCTTCCATTTCTCTTGCATTGACAACATCATTCTCGCTTGTTTCCTTTACCTCTCTGCATTAATGATTTCTTACTTTTTAAGACTGAATATTCGCTTACTGATATGGTAAATTAATTATTCTGATAATGCTCTGTTTATTGTGCTGTAGTTAAATGATTTTGTGTTTCTTTATCCTATTAGATACGTATTCGAAACTGTATAGTAATCTGTTATGTTTTATTATTGCAGTCAATTAGCGTATTAACAAACTGTCAAAGAAACATACAATTGGCTATTCTTTTCTCAGTAGAGTGTTGATTGAATGTAAAAGTTCATCGTTGAAATTCTCAAAGTTCTGATAATCCAACCAGTTTGATTCTGCACTATATTAGTCAATAAAATAATTCAACTCATTTGGTAAGTGCAGATCTATGTACTCACCATCGAGTCACTAAGTTTCTCCAAAGTTTAGCAATATTACTCAATTTACCAAACTAAAATAAACGGAGCAGCTGTGTTCGAATCTGCGTTTTAATGGTTGGATGGTTAGTACTTTGATCCACTTTAATCCACCACTTCATTCAGTCATACGTTTAAGTTTATTCTCTGGGTTTGAAATGTAATTTTATTTTTTAACCTGTAATTTAATTCGTAAAATTTTTTCATACCATTCTTGGGAATTTTAAAACTTACATAACAAACTTATCTTAATTAGCCAAACAATGAAGGCGGAAAAGGAGGCACTGAACAGCTGTTTTTTCTATTATGAGACTCCTCAACAGTGCACATGCACCATCTCTTAGGGATTGAACCTAGGACTTTCAGGCTTCCCAGCGAGTTTTTAACTTTAAGATCACTGAGTTGCGAGCCAATCGTTTACATTTCTACCGTTAATCAATTCGTATTATTGCGCAACTGTCTTACACTCTAATTCATGAGTAGCTGCTTCATTTCTGATACGATTGCACCCCACTAGTCAAGACTTCTGACTAGAATCCTAAAAATTACCTTTCGGAGTTAGTCGCTAGGGTGCTTATAATTATTGTTAGTATAGGAATTCATAATACGCTGCTAATATTCTTAGTATAGCCAATAAAATTCTCACCAATATTCTTAATTTTAGGAAAACTGCACGTAAACATTTGTTTTTAAAAACGAATCATGTATATCGTACGTAACGTATGGAATACATTTTTATAAACAAGTTATAATATTCTAGTGGGAGTTTACAGTGTTTTTTTCTTTTATGTGTTGTTATATTTCAATATTATTCACTTAACGATTGTTAATTTTTCATTATACGTGAGTTTAGTATATATTATTATTTGTACAGAATAATAATAAATATATTCGGCATCAGTTGCGTGCGATGTATTAGAAGAAACTTTAAAGTAATTTTATTTCCTTATTATTATTATTATTATTATTATTATTTAAGCATATAAATATTGGTACAAAGCGGCACCAAATACACATGCGCCACACTTCGTCATCCCATTTGTGTGAAGGCCAAAACAACGTGGTTTCCTCAGGGAGCCACATCCGGAGCATTTAACCTAGAGATCTAATCCATAAGGCAGTGAAGCAACGTTAGGAGATGCAGTCGTATGGTAGCCTGTGGCCAACAATAGGTTCATATGCCATTTGGTCCCTTAGGATTCTAGAGCCCATATGTGCCATTGGTTTGGAATCAGGGTTTTCCAACTGCCCTAGGTGGGTCCTCTACATCCACCAACCCGATTAAGGCGCCGGATATTCGCTTTTCCTCCTCTCAATTTCGTAAACAACACCCCTGCTGCGAAAAGGCAGTGAGTAGGAATTCCCTGGCAGTGGCTATATATGCGTGGCCATGTGAGAGCACTAAGAGTAGTAGAGCTAACTCTTCCCACCATCGACCGAACCAGGCCATTTGGGGTCTTTTTTATTTTCTATTCAATTGGTAAATTTGTGTAGTTGTCTATCAATCTGTGTACAATATATTTGACAAATGGTGCTATCAAATTATTTTTTATTTAAGTTACATTGCTAGAAAATGTATTGGTATATCAAGTTAGTTTTAAAGCCTAATTACTCTATTTGGAACGTTTGGTCAAACCAAACTATAATTGGCTAGTAAGTGTGGTAGACAGATATACTCTTTTGTACTACAGAAATATATTGTAAACTATTCTATATTAATTGTTTTTCCATCGGTTCCTACTCTATATTTTGTCCATATACGTTGTTATTATTGATATCTGGTTCTTGAATAAACAATTAAAAGTTTCTGAGTTCATGTGGATTTATTAAACGCCGCGTTATAACACCATGACATCATAACTTATTTCTCAGTATATGATAAATACAATTATATTTTCAGAATGGGGATATCTGGAGATCTTAGTACATTTAGCAGTTGAATTCACGAGTCGATCTAAGCTAAACCACCACTAGAAATCTGGAAACACTGAAATGCCGCTTCATATAAGTAAAGGACTCCTAAGCAATGCGCACCCTCGACCCCGCACGCTGGACTCGAACCCAAGATGTTCGGTTTTGCACGCGAACGCTTAACCTCTAGACCACTGAGCCGGCATCCGATGGTGTTAATATTTAACTACAATCGATCAGTGGTCTTACGCAACTCTTCAGTCATTCTCCGAGGTGGATAACTGTCTCGCCCGACAAGTGCTTCGAGGTTTTCGATGGTGCAAATTCAACTGTGAAATGTTATAAAATTCGCTAAGCAAAACATTTTAAACTGGAATATTACAGTATTGTAGAAATTAAAGTAATTCAACATTCATTGTGTATTAAATTTATGCTATCATTCGACTAGTCAGTTTGTAATTTTTATTCATCCTCAATTTAATAGTATATCGATTAAAACAAAATAATATTGTAACTTATTTGACTATAGTACTTGTTTCCCAAGTGTAGATTTGTCTAATTGTCTTTGAGTTATACTCTAAATATTGTGGTAGGAGCAGTCTTGTTATTCGATTGGCTAGATAAGGTGTAGCTAGATTTGAATTTGAAATATTAGTCGTTGGTAATGGAGAGCGCTTCAGATACCAAAGCCGTAGGATTCTCGATCGATAAATGATACTCTTATATATTCCTTTTGTTGTCTGAGTTTCATAAAAAAACTTGCAATTTTTTTGGTTTCGTAGCTGTAAACTGTTATGTTAATATTTTATATCAAATGAAGTTACTTATTAGTTAGCGAACAGTACTGTCATCAGGCTTTCCATCTTATTCACTTTAATATTTGACTACGATCTGCCTTTGTTTTGATTTACTAGTTTGCTGTTTTTTGATAATTTTTTTCTCAATTTCAAGACAAAAATTACATTGTTCACTTATTCTGACATAGATTAATTCATCATCAACCTGTTAAATGTTTTTTTGTTTTATAAAACGATCGTGAAATGTCTAGTCAGTCATCATCAATATAAGACCTGGTGTATAGACGTCCGTCAGCCCGTATTATCACATCGCATCAACAAAGCAAGGTAAATAAATACCAAAGGAATTGAAATAATCAATAATGCTACAATGAATTTAAATATGAAGGAGTTCAAGAAAAAAATAGGAATGAATTTTCGGGAGGAAGTTATGTAATTATATTGATATTCAGAGTCTCGGGATCCATCTGTTTGCCACTACAACAGATTGTGTGAGTCACGTTACCTGGGAATGTAACCAAATGTAGTTTGATTCGACGAAACCCTTTTTTGTCAAATCTCTTTAGGTCACTTCAATCTTTCTTGTTTACATTCTCCTTTCTTCTCTTTGTTTATTAGTTCGTTTTTTCCAAAGTAAATAAAAGCAAACTGTTCAGGTGTAATCATGCATAAATCTGTATGTCATGATGACTTGATCAATTCTAGTCAAAATTAATATTTTTAGTTGGTTAATTAATCGATTATTTGCTGACGTCAGTTGGTTATCTGTTATATTAACTGGAGTAGTGGACAATTAATTAAAAATAAATATAAATAACGTAAAAACAATTGTTTTTCTCTTCATCATTACAAAAATCTTATGGCATGATTGTTGCTGGTGGTGGTGGTGTGATATCTTCATATTCTGCTTTTTTGCGTTTATTAGTGTTTGCTTGTCTGATTGTTCTTCTGTCCTGTTCGTTTGTTATTTTAATATTCAATTCTTAAATTATTGGTGTTTTCGAGGTGAATTAAATTGTACTAATTTTGCTGTATCAGTTATATTTCTTTTTTGTTAATGAAGGTACATATGGTCTTGACATCAATCAATATTTTTTTAATTGATCATATTTGAATGAATTTTAACGTTACTGTGTGCATTTTATATTCCTTTATTTTTAGCAGGAAGATTGTAGACAAGGTTATAACTCATTTTGATAGAGAATAATCTAGTTTTTTTATTTGAAGGTATCTGTTATTTAGCCACTACCAAATGTTGGATATCATTATTAGTTCAATGAGTAAATGATATTATGTCGTAAGACTAAGAAAAATAAGAAGCTTAAGTTCAGTCTCACATAGGTAAGGTCACTAGTTCAAACTCGTGATTTGTACATATCTAGCATAAAACAATGCTTGCTGTATGATTTTCAAAGATTCACCAATATTATGTCAGTTTATAATGTAAATATCCTTCATATTATACACCATTTATTCGTATCATGAAAATGGTAATTTTTTTAGATTCAGCAACAAGTTATAAGTTATCAGAGGAGAAAATTGTCAATAAAATTTCTCATAATTCAAATATGAAGATAGAAATTTCTGGAAACAATATTGACAATAACAACAATAATAATGATAATAATAATGATCCTGCTAGTAATCCGAGTAATTCAATTCAGAGATCATGTGACCAAATGACAGAAAAGCATTCTATGCACAAATCACCTGATAATTGTAATGATCATATCAATTCGTATGATGACAGAAATACTCAATCGACTGTTGTCACACAACCAATGTGTGATCATTCTACATCTTTTGAAGGGCAAATCTACCTAACCGATACAATGGTTTGTTTATTTATTTACTTTTCCGTGTTTATTATTATCCATATTTGTATCATTATATATGTTATCCTAAGTGTTTTCACTATTGGTTCAAGGGTTGGAACCTAACAATCCACATTTCTATCTCTCATCAGTTCAGAACATTGTGCAATGATCAACTAATGGCATCTGTATGAATAGGCCACTTTATTCTTGATACTGTTAAATCCTAATACCTTATTAAAATTCATCACTAATGAGCATATAGTTTTTATCACCATGTGATGTCATTATGGATATAGTTGTGAATAAACATTTAAAATCTTGCAAGTAACGGCCAGGCGCAGGTTTGCCAGGTACATTCATATTTTTCCCTTTATATAGCTTTTGACAAACAACCTAGGTATATTTAAATTTATGCACTCAGAAATGCAAAAGCTCCACAATACCGTGTCTTGCACGTATATTATCTGACGAACAGATCGTGAGGGCCGACCTAGTAGAAAATGTATGGTCTTAAACATTCGGCGTATTCGTAGTTGCAAAGATTATTATTTTCTGATATATCCACTTAATTTTATATGATTTCATATATATATATATATATATATATATATATATATATATGCGACGAATATGACGGGTGATTGTTTGTAATATTGGATCATGAGAACTTCATATTGTACTAAAAATATAGTATTGAATATAGCCGATATTATTATTACCTATATCCCTAATGTAAAGATAAAAGTTGTATTATTTGGGATTTGTTAAAGCATGATTCTTAATCCTGTCGAATCAGACTGAGAGAAAGCATAATCGAAGCAAATATAACGATATCTGTATTATTCTGTCTGTTTTTAAAACAACAATTTATAATTTGTGTGAGCGATTTTAAGGTCGAAATCTGAACGCCTGGACCACTACCACCACCCTGTATGCACATAGCATGTGGTCTTTGTTGAATACTCAAAGCAGTTTCAAAAATGTCGTTCAATGTATATTCTTCCCGCGAAATCATATAAAAATGACCAAGGGTTTTTGAAGTAAATTTAAGCTCTTACCGTTCAGTATTCCCTAAAAATACAACAATTTTGGTTATGTATAATATTAGATTTTGTCTATTGTCTTTTTATCAATAAACACTGTGTTTAGAAAAATTTACAAAAACAGCTTTCCATCGTTAGAAATGAATTAGATTTGAAAAGCCACGCTTTGAAAGTTGCTACAGATCGTCAATTAGAATTGGAAAATGCCCTTAAAACTCAAGTTGCTGAACAAACATCTAAAATAGAAAAAATTAGTACAATTTCTAATCAATTGGGTCAACGATTAGATGGTTTGCAGTTAAACTACCAAGTGAGTTTTCTATTTATTTGTTTTATTTAAAGGACTAATATTTGAACGAAAAATATTCTTTCCGATAAATTCTCTTCAGGTTCTACAATTATATATCCAAATTAATAATTCGAAAAATGGCTAATTTAAGGGTAAAGAATATTCTTCGTTCAAATATTACTCTTTTAATATGATGGGGATCTTTAAGCGATTAAATGATTTCATTTAGTTATTTGATAAGAATTCTTTTCCCATAACACGTATTTGCATAGTTATTGGTAAATTTTTAGTTTATTCTATTTTGCAGCAGAATCATCTAACATTTCTTACTGTTGTGGTTAATGTACAACTCATTACTCATCTGTCCCTATAAATTATCTAACAGGTTGCTTTATCATGATTTAAATAGTCGAGAATTTCTTTATCCAGTCTCGTATATAGATAGGAGTATGAACCACTAGGAATAAGACAGTTGTGTTGTTATCCATGATTCATAATCATTTCTTGGTGTTGGAGCGCAAAAATTTATTTACTTTCTTTTTATGGAGCAGTTTTTAACGTAATAAACATCAACCTAATGACCCCTAGAGTTTCTGTATGTGTAATGGTTGTGGGGTCTATCCCTCATTGTAATAAGTTTTCTGCAAGACCCAGTTGACTTCGTTTAAAGGGATAGAAAGTGCAATAACCATTATTTTCTACAGTTGTATATGAATGTATACTCGTAGCATAGTTAATTCCGTCTTTGTATATTTGAATTGTTGCTAGTAGTGGGATGTAGTATTCGAGTTTCGTCCTACTTGGGACTTGTCAGATGGATGTACCTGGGTCCTATGTTGATGTTCAGAACTGTAATTAATCTCCTTACTCATATATGCTCGGGTGGATCACTTCGATATAGTCCTTTGTCATAAGTCTTGATATATTTGCGTCGAGATGATACACTCCAAATATGCATATAATAATAGAAACCAATCGATTGCAGTTATAAATGTTAACAACAAAAGGGAATTGAAAACTCTTCTTTATAGTTACTCCTGTTTATTTATTGTATTTCCTTTCATTTCTTTTTTTCTTGATTATTACTCATTGTACATATTTGATTATTTTGATTACTTTTTTGAAGTCTTATCGTGAAACAACTGAAAAAGAAATATCCACTTTATTAGTTGAGCGTAAAATTGCTAGTACAAATCTAGAAATTCTTCGTTCACATTATGATGCTCTGGTTGGTAGACGTTCACAAGCTGCTATTGAATTAAGTAGACAACCAATTCAATTACCAAATGAGAAAGATGAATTAGAACATTTGACGTTAAAATTATATGAAGAAAATTTATCATTTCGGTAAGTGTGGCTTTTTTCTGTTAATCTTTTTGGTGAATTCTTTCCTCGACTACAAAATTTATTTTCATAGTCCTATGTCAAGTGTTTGTTTACGTTCTTTGTCCTTATCTTTCTCCTACCAGCTCGTTTTTTGTGTGCATTGTCTTATACTACTTATCAATATTCAGTAAATAGTTGTATTCTTAACAATTTCTACGCGTATGTGGTAACACAGGTTTGTTATGTTCTAAAATATTTACGTACACATACAGTATTTATCATCAGAATTAGTTTACCCAAACCCTTGTAACAGTTGTTCTCAGTTTTGTATGGTTTTCGGATTTTTGTCGAAATGCGACGGTTTCTATATTTGTTTGCTTGTGGTTCCCTTTTTGCTCGTTGACAAATTGTTATCTAGATCAGATACAGCTATCAGTTTACGTTATGGTTACGAGTTATGGCTTTTTACCTTATGAAAAATTATTTACACAGTCAGTTCTTTAATCTTGAATCCGAACATCGTTTAAGCTACTTTGAAAAGTTAATGAGCCATGTCAAAATGTTATATAAATTTTATTTGTTTTCTGTTATTTTTTCTCAGGAAAAGCTAATTAAGCGAGACTATAATTTGTGGACAAACCAATCAGATTTACGATAACAGGTCTTGAATTTTGGCGCGAAATCAATTCATTCATTTGGCTAAATAGAGTTTTGTCATTATAGCTGATATCAGTTCGTGATGAAAATCCTATATCTGATTCCTAGCCCTAACTATCAACTGTAAATATTAATCTTAATTCCTCACACTGTTTTATAACCGTCATTTATCTGTAGTATGTAGGCTGACATTCCCAAGATCTCTTTAGCGTCGTTCGAAGGTCGTCCATAAATTATAGTCTCACCGCGAATAACTTTCTCGGGATCACTTTTGTAATTGCCTAAGTTTGTTCTTATTCTTCAATTTCGCTACGTCTGATTATTCTAAGTGTTCTCGTAACTAATTGTTGGTAGGTCTTACTTTACTTCTAACTACGTACAAGCTAACCGTCACAGGATATTGAGTTTTTACGAGCTCGTTTTCGTTCATCTAATTAGTTCGTCAGTTTAGTGTAATCCAATAAACATGGACATTGTTCTCAAGGTGATAATGTACATTTGTACATTATTGAGCTTAGTAGTTGAAGTAGTTAATCTTCAACGTCACTCCACCGGGATAGCATAATTAGCCGTCAGATACGTAAAATATAACTTGAAGCGGTGCAGGCAAACCTAAATGTGTTCTAATTATATCAATATTCCCACTTACTGATGTTCAGTTCAAAGTAATTTGACTTGTGATAAGTCCTATCCTCTGCACTGTTGACTGAATGAATAACTAATCTTCATTAACTTTTGTCAGTGTATGATGATCTCATTTGCGAGTTGACTGAATCTTCACGATTAATAGACTTTGCAGGGGATTTTTGCAATTTATCTTCACTCCATATTAAATGCTCGACTGAAAGTGTATATAAATAATTTAAACGAACCCACACGTATGCTAAATATTTTCTAATTATAATTGAATTTTCTCACGATTCAATGTTTCTGAGATACTTCTCAAAGTCTATACTCATACATAGGTTCCGATTTTGTATGTTTTTACTATGATCAGTTTTCGTAATTAACCTATTGACTATGATAAACTTTCCTCCTACTAAAAATTGTTTCGGATACTTAATTGTCTGTGGTAATTAAGAAATTTCGCTACACGTTCTGGATAATTTTTCTCTACGATGTATTCCCATTTTGTTTAGTAGTTCTGCTTTTCAAGTGTTCACATATTAGTTCTGTTTATCTCTTTAACTGAAAGTGAGAACTTGTTACCCAATGTGTCTGATAATATTTCGTTTTAAAAAAACCCAGCAAATAGTTTCCTTTCGAATTATTAATCATTGTCGCATAAGATTTTTACTGCGACATACATATCCCTCAGTTAGTATTACGGTCATTTTGTGCCTTATATGGGAGTAAGGTGAAAAAATATCTAAAAACTATACCTTAGATAATACTATAAGAAAGGAAATACTATTTAGTAATATACAACTCTAGGTAAATTTTAAACAACCTGAAATTGTAATTAAAAAGTTTGAGTGATTAGTACTGGTCTATCCCGCAACAACCGAATAAATTTTGTCCAATGGAAGATTATTTAGACCATACAGCAGTAGTAGTACGAATCCAAGTTCTGATTAGGAAACTTAGATGATCTCTCAATGATCTGTATTAATTTTATTGAGGTTACAAGCATTGGAAAACCATTGAATGACTGTTTCTTCCCGGCGTGGGGCTCCCCAGTAGTATGCAATTTCTGGCGGCGGGGTCACAGATTTCCACTGCCGATGAGTTCCATACTGGGACGAAACAGCTACCCAATAGTTCTAGTTTCTTAATGTTTGTTTAAATGAGGCATTTTTGACCTTGATAGAATGCAATAGTCTCCACGATTTCCATACCGATAAACAGATTAATCTTTGTTTCAATTAAAATACTGTGATCAATTTGGTTTGATGCTGATATACATAACTAGAAAATTCATCTATATACATTTAAATGTATACATATTGTTAGTGTTTTTGATTTTCACAATAAAGTGAAGCACGTGATCATTTAGAAGAATGTTTAAAGAAGGAAACTGAAACTCACAGAGAACAGCTAGCAAATGAACAACAAGAGCGTATTAATTTTGAATCGTCAATTCTACAAGAATTGGAAGATGCACGTAGACGTCTAGCTGATCTTGCCAATATTACAACTGAACGTGATAATGAAACTGTTCTAAGACAGAAATGTGAAGATGAATTAAAAATGTCCAAATTTAAGTTGAATGAAATACAGGTGCGTGTTTATGTATGCATATAGATTATTACTTTTTTTTCTATCATTGTCATAACAGTTAATCAGTTAGTCATAGTCCATGTAGAACCCAGCATAAATATACATTGGTCCAAGTTGTCATGCCATATCGGGAAGATTAGCTAAAACAAAATAATCTAATAAAAATAATGATGAGAAAGTCTATATATATATAAGGATATATAGACTATAACGGGCAACACTTCAACATTACTCACTATTGCGTGAGGTGACCGTGCACTTGAAGGTAAGACACCTATGGATTCATTGTTTCTTTAGCCTCGAGAAATTTGCCTGAAGCCCGTGAATTCAAATTGGTATATGAGTATCCGCTAACACAGATAATAAAATATCTCAACATGTTTCTACACTAGTTTCATATCTGCATTATGTGCTGTAGATAGCCTGATTTAAGCGTAAATTTACTTGAACAACTCTCAAATGATTCCACGTTGGAATGTAACAAGTTTTTTTCTCTTAACAATGCCTGAAGATTCCAGTGGTTGCTGTTAGAACGCCTTTTCAGTGATAGCGATGTTAACGAGCGATTGATTCAGACAAAATCTATATTCATGAGTAGAATAATGTGATTTATTCAAAAAATAACCTCATCCTATTAACGGAACAACTTTTTTCCAATGACATTAAGACTGCGGTACAATCGTGGATACTTTAAAAAAATTTGCTTGATGTCCTTGTTCAGTTGAACAATTTACTCACCCACATTAGCCCGCCTATACATACATCTTCTACCTACTATATTGTCTTCAGACAACACGTGGTCTTTCTGACTTTTCAACAGCATATGATCTCTCTATAATTAAATTCTATTTTTACATTTTGTTCTATTCTTTTTAAAAAAGGCTAAATATGAACTGACCGAAACTAATTTAACTGAAGCTCAGAAAAGAATTATTGATCTACAAGATCAAGTTATTCGATTGCAAAATGATTTAGACAATGTGGAATCGGTTCAAGCTGATTTTGTTCGTTTGTCACAAAATTTACAAGTGAGTCCTATTCGTTTAATTTGGTTTCACTTACATGTAAAGTGTTCCGTTTTTTATGATTATATCTAGGGTTACTGACCAATAAGTTGATGTTTTAAAACAACTTTTATGATTGTAAACCATCATCTCTACTCATAATGCTTGTGGCTTGAAGTAATGTCGAGGCAATCCACACAGGATGCACAGGATGCCAATAAGAGACTGATCAATTGCAGTCCTAAACATCAATGGGAAGATTCAAGTAAACAATACAAAAACTATTATAATTGTTATTATCAGTGGAATCATACTCGTCACTTGTTGCTTTCTGCATGAACCCATTCATAGATTACCTTAATCAGGTTGCATGAATCGTTAACTGTATCTTTTTAATGACTTAAAGTAGTTTTTTTATTATAAAAACAGCATTAATTGTTTTTATTGTGAGGCACGGTGTGCTACACGCTAACCCCCGACTGACTACTTGAGCGAGAAAGTGTATTGCACTACCGAATGAATTGCACAAATGCTCATTCATACATACGACTCTATCCTTAGAAAATTAACACATTGACCCCAATGAAATGCACTTGACCTTTAGGTAACTTCTGATTGCCACAGATTGACCTTTTACTACTTCTAATTGGCTCTCCATATCAGTTTTAAAAACAGTCGCTAAAATAATAATCCAGAACATTGACTTTTTGTTCCTTCCTAATCTGGACAACTTTATCGTGTATGGAAAGCGTTAAGTTCGATCGGAATTGTGTTATTATTCGATTTTCGATTCATAATCCTATAATCGTGCATATTAAAACTTTACTGTATTCACAATACACCACGAATAACATTCAATTTGGTCATTTACAAAACAACACACTTGTCACTTGCCTTAAGATAGACTTCTCGAAGTCATCAAAATCTTAATAGAGAAAACACTTCACCTTTCAGATTAGTCAAATAATTTTTATATTTCAGCTTAATAACTTATCTGATAATAAAGTGTTCCTCTTATTACCCGTAAGTTTTCAGCGTTAAAATAATGGTTTGTACCGATGGATTGATAACATGCAAGGGTACGATGTGATTGAATAGTGGCTTCTCATCAGACTGAGTTATTGACATCTACCTAGTAGAATGAGTTGTTAGTCTAACGACGTATCGTGCTCACGAAACACTGAACAAATGAACGAATATATTTAAGAGTCACTTATTTATTTATTTATTTATTTATTTAAACACATAAACATTGGTACAAGGAGGCACCAAAAAGATATGCGCCACATACATAATTCGATTTGTGTGAGGGCTGGGATACGATCCGGGTGCCCAGACCAAAGCAGGTGGTTTTCTTAGGGGGCCACACCCCGAGCCTTGTACCTAAAGGTCTGACCCACAAGGCAATGGAGCATCGTGAGGAGATGCAGTCCCATGGTAGACGGTTCCCTTAGGATACTGGAGCCCATGTGCACCATTGGTTTGGAATCCGGTTAAAGCGCCAAACATTCGCTTTTCATCCTCTCATTTTCGTAATCAACACCCGCCACGAGAAGGCAATGAATTGGACTTCCCTGGCAAAGGCTGTATACGCGTGGCCGTGTGAGAGCATTTCGAGAGGGAGGGAGGGAGGGCGGGCCCACCCCACTCTTGGCCATACCAGGGCATTTGGGGGCAAGAGTCACTTAACCAATAAACGACTTGAAGATAAAGTTACTGAAACTCACTAATCCTCCGATAGAATTAATGTGTAACTTCTAGTCTTAATCCTTGCTTCTTCATATTGATCGTCTGCAAATTCATCAATTAATTGAGGTATTGTTGATGTTTCATCGACGCTCTCGAATAATAATAATAATCTTGCTTATAGTAATCAGTCAGTTTGTCCTTTATATGAAACATTCTTATTCTGAAATCTTTTAACATTTCCTCGTAAATATATCTTCAGTTTTATCACTGAATTATTTTGAAAAAGTTGTTCTACTAACTTACTAATGAGGAGGTGGTGGCAGCGTTTCCTCTGGACAACATGACTTTACTTGTCTCTCAATTAGACCAACACGACACAACACCACTAAACACATTGATTTCTAATTATTACATTCAATCATTGTGAACAGAACACATTATTGGTTCTTCAAGTTACATTTCAATTATGTAGTTTTCGGTCTTTTTTATGTTGTGCTTTTAAATTTATTTCAGGTTCAACTGGAAAGATTAAGACAACAAGATCAAGAAGTAAGATGGATTAGTCCAGATGACGTGACCAACTGTTTTTCGTGTAATTCAGCATTTCCAGTTGGACTTTCTAATAGTAACAATTCGAAAAAAATCAATTGTCGTCATTGTGGTAAAGTTCATTGTTCCAATTGTACAAAGAATACTATGCCAGCTGGACCATTTGGTCATCCGGCTGTTGTATGTGATGTATGCCATACATTGTTGAATAAAAATATTGCTCCGTATTTCAGCACAACATCATTAAATAATAATAATAATAATAATAATAATAATAATAATAATAATAATAATAATAATAATAATAATAATAATAATGGTAATAATAATCAAAGGGATCACTTTCCATCTTCTAAACGTTTCAGTCTATCATCGCCTACACAATCCTCAACTAATCTATCAACTAAACCTTCTTAATAACACTTATTCATTATTTATCCTTTCATAATATCAAATTACTACTGTTTTGTTTCTGCTCTTTCGTTCAAATTTCTCTTCTAATCTAACTGATCTATAATAAATTGTTTGAGCTGTCATAAATTAATTGCATAATCTTTACCCTTTTTTTACTTCACTTCCTTCACAGTGTATACACAAATTAATTATTATATATTATTTTGCCTTTTTATGTATTTATTACTGTTTTAATGTTTACTTTATACTTCTTTGAATTATTTCTTCATGTTGACTTGTATGTGTGTATGTGAATCCCATACACTAATGAGTTTGTGTTCATGTGATGACAGAAATCGTCACATAACCGTATTTGTGCGTTTTTTTTGTATGAACTCAATCAAGTTTGTATATTTATGTTACTTTTGTTTTATTCATTTAAATATTCACTGTACCATCTTATTATTATTATTACTTTCATTATTATTATTATTATACATACATGTCTTTCAAACTTAATGTTTGTGTCCGTTTATTTGGTTTTCCTCATCAGCAAGATGTGCTACTTTGTTTTCATTTCAGTAGTATAAAATATGTATTCGTTTTGTTTTGAAAAAGCACACATTAGTTTGCCTATACGAGTATTAGCATGAAATTTATTAATTATTCTATTCATATTAAACATAATAAGAAACTATTCCATTCTTACTTATTTATCTATTTTTTCGATATGTTGATTATGTTAAACATGATCACGTATCAATCATTTTTGACGATTTATATGATAGTGTGAACAAAACAACAATGATAAACAGTTCTTTAGATTTGTATGAATTTAATTCATTTCTTACTTTTTGAATCGCTAGCTGAGGAAAAAACAGACTTAACAAGGAGATTTAAATAGGCAATAGTGAAACGTGTCCGTCGAGTGTATAGGTGTAGTTAATAAAATGTAAGTTGACAAGTCAACTATTTCTGTTTTCTTCCTCACACGCTTCCTGATGCTAACAATATAAGTATTTGTTATGATTGTGGAAAAAGCTTCTGATTGTTTCAACGCGACAAATCTGACATGTTATCGAGATTGCAAATCAATGTAAGACAAAGAGCCATTGAATGAATGGACAGCTGTTTAGCCCCAGTGTGAAATTACTTAGCAACGAATATCTACGACCCCTTACCAGAGGTTAAACCTGATACCTTGAATCTCTCGCTCCGTCAATTAATCCCTAGATCACTGAGCCGGGATCTCTTGGTATAGAAGGCTAAATTCAATCCAATCTTGCTGTCATGCGACTATATTCCATTGTATGCGGTGGGTACTTTTCTCACATCTGACATGAGTAGACTCCAGTGACCACGGCTTCTGATTGAAATTCCAGGAATTCTCTCTCGGATCTAATCAACACATGATATGGCTCGGTGTTTGGAAGAACAGTGACACTAGACGAATCCTTATTCATGATCCAATCACTGATTCACATTTATATCATTGCAGTTAGTAAAGATGGGCGTCTTTTTTATTCAGGAATATCGTACCATTTGATATTCACCATTTTTGTATCTGTAGTTGAATTTCTTAATCTTGGCACTGATGAACTGCAAATTATAGTAGATAATGATTGTATTACAGTGCACTTCATTAGCCGTATTTGATGTGATTAATTTCATTTACCTTATCATTGTCAATGGTTGTTATAGTAGGTCTCCATTTTATTTGATTTCGCTCAAATTGATTTGTGCGTATACAAAATGGCAATGTTTCTATATCATTCAGATCATAACGTTTATAGATTTTCACACACACACAGATGCGATCATTTAAATCGTTTTCATTTACGAACTCTTCCTGTCTAAAAAATTCTTGTTTTAAAATTTTCGGCAGTTTTCTCTGAATAGTCATGAACTATCTTATGTCTTACTGTTTAAACTCAAAATAAACATCTATGTTTTTTTACAGAGACTGCTTAGTAATTAATTATTTTGTGACAATATGATCAGAAAAATTAATGTTTCCCAATGTTTAAATAAACAACTAGTCGGTTGATTTAATTTCTTAGAAAAATTACATAAAATGCTAAAGATTGAAATATAGATTCGATAGGAAACTATAAAACTTAGGTGCGTATCTTTCTTAGTATAAAGGTCTATTATCCGTGATGTCGTTTGTGTCAATCACTTAACTACTGTTATTTTTGTCCAACCTTATCAGTCGTACCTACCTTGTGAGAGAGTTTTTGTTCCCAAGGTTTCTTTCGTTTTCAAAGTCTATTCATTGTCGAGATTCAAGAATTGGTTGTGTGCGAACATTTTATTAATTCAATAATCATTGTCATTAGTGTTGATTATGATAATTCTATCAATGATATGTAAAACTTATATTTACTGAAACTATAATTTCTCTGTCTAATAATATCTTGCATAGTTACTTGATACTGACCACACTATATTATATTTTATTGTAATTTATAACATTTAATTTCCTGTATATGCAAAAACGTGTCCATTGCAAGGTTGATTGACAATTCATTTTTAACATTATGTCATCAATTGAAAATAATTAAACATATTAACTTTTATGCAATTTGATTGAAAATAACGAAACCCAATGAATTTATTGCATTCGACTATTTTCATATCCTATGGTCCGTCAAATACCACATGACGAATCGCCATTCAGAATACCGACTCTTATGAACTTGTTTCGTGTCAAACAGCATTAGCAGCCTTGAGTCAACTCTCAATCCTTATTGTTTCTCTGTATAGTAACTGCTCGCCTCGACCAGCTCGTTCAGCCCAGAACACAAATATCAGCCTTCTCTGTGTAAATCGTAAATATTAGACATACTTATTTTATATGCAAACAGACTAGACCGCGGCCTGCTTGAGCATCTGGGCTACCTGTTCCTGTCATCTAAATATTTCAACAAGTTATCTATTTTTGTTTGTTTTAATGTATCATTATGTATATTAATCGCATAACCCATCCTTGTGCATTTCTGAAAAGTTTACAACCTTTCGTTGTCAAAGTTACTAAAAGCTCAATAAGAGATAATGTGGTCGCTGGCAATATGCAGAGAAAAGAATATACATTATTCAGATGTTTATTTACTGGACTGCTAACATCTAACTGGCTATCACTCAATATTTATCGTCAGGATCGACCCAGAAGAAAGAAACGGAAACTTGTTGAAATACTTTGTGCTGAGAATTCTATATTGTACCGAAAATATAATATTGAATAAAGCTTATAATAATAATAATAATAAATATAAAAAAATAAAATGAAAAATAATAATTATAAAAGATCAAGACAAATGTGGCTGTGAGTGTGGGATACTTTAACTGATAAGTTGAGAATAATTAAATAATGGTAAATCGTATTGACACATGATCTCAACTTTTGAAATCTTATTGCATTAACCAATAGGTCAAATGAAAGCTTATGGCAAAAGGGATATAAACATACATATAACCTAGTTACTTAATAGGTATCAAGTAGGAATATATGTGATAATAGTTCTTAGGAGTTGCCGTTCATTTATTCTTCGTTCGGATAACAGAAACTATCATTTTCATCTTTGTTTTGTTCAAATTCTCCGTATCATTTTTTATAAAATAAAATACAACATTTGTGGATTCAACACCATGTAACTTAATTTAGTTAAGCATATACTTGAACTTTTCTATCCATGTTAGAGAGCTGACTAAAAATAGTTTACTTTTTTCAATGTACTATCAAAATTGTTTTGTTTTTTTAAAATCAATAGAATTGTCCGTATCTATTCTTATTGATCAACATGATAGCATCGGTCATGTCTACAAATTTATTGTTTTATGATAGACTAATTAACTGTTATGCTTCGGAAGAATCAGTTAGTAGTGTGAGGTATTCTTCATATAAACATTTAAAAATTTTATTGTATATAACTTAATAAAGAATATTTCCATCTTTTTAAAATTATTATTACATTGAATAAACTGTTCTATGTTTACTTCCTTAATAATGTACTTTACAAATTCATAGTATGATTACAAAGTACATACTCTGTAGCATTGTTTAGTGTACAAGTTAATGTAATTATCTTAGCCTTATTATATTCATGTGATGCATACGTGTGTACTATCAATTTTCACAGGTTATTTTATTTTAATTTTTAAAATATTAAGTAAAACGAGTTCATTGCATGCATTACTTTGAATTTATATTGTAACTTGAGTCTGAAGAAACTGTTCAAAGTGTTAAATGTATATAATTGAATGTATGAGTCGATCTAAGCTAGATTACCATTGAAAACCTGGAAACATTGGATAACCGTTTCATCCTAGTAATGGACTCCTCAACATTGTATATCCGCGATCCCGAGCGCAAACCCTTAACCTCTAGAACATTGAGTCGGCATCCAATGGTGTTAATATCTAACTTTAATCGATCCACGATCTTGCGCAACCCTTCATTCATTGTTTAAAGTGGATAACTGTCTCCACCCGACACGGATTGGAGTCCACTGGTCACGGCTTTAAACGTAAAAATACCACAATCTCCACAAATTCCCGTTCCGTTAAATTTATTTCAGTAATGAATCAGATGATTAAAAGTATAGCCCACAAGCGGATTTAAAAATTTCGTTAACTGAAATTGAATAAAAGTCCTAATGAAAAGAACTATGAGGAAATTTTTTCAAGTATCACTAATTTTTCATAAACGTATAGTTGACTAAATAAAGCGTTTAAGTGACCGAGGTGAGTGATAATTGAATATTGAACGTATCAACTCCGTCTTTTCAGTACACTCTAGAAATAAATCAGAACTACCGATCAACGGACTGATTATATTGTTAACAAGTTTTCAAGAGTTTTACTTACGCCTGTTACCCCTCGTGGATGATCATAGGCCGCCCACTAGCGCTTTTCATTCAACTCTATCCTGGGCAATCTCTTCCAGTAGCTATTCATCCTTTTTATGTCTGCTTCCGATTGCTGTGTTGTCCTGCCTTCCTCTTTTCAATTCCCTTCCAAGATTCCAAGTTAGCGCCTGCCTCGTGATGCAGTCTGGTAACTTCCTCAATGCATGTCCTATCCCCTTCCAACATTTCTTCTCAATTTCCTCTTCAGCTGAAAGCCGGTTTGTTCTCTCCCACAATAGGCTTTTGCTGACGGTATCCGGAAAACGGACATCGAGTGTTTTGCGTAGACAATTGTTTATAAATACTTGTGACTTTTTGATGATTGTTGTGGCGGTTCTCCACGTTTCAGCTTCGTACAGTAGAACTGTCTACGTTCGTATTGAAGATTCTGACTTTGATTCAAGACTTTTACGTATACATAAACGATTTTGAAAATAACTATTAACTGTAATAGAAAAGCCTGTCCAGTCACCTTGTTATGTTGACATGTTCGTCTTAAGCAATTCATCTTATGAGAGCACGTTTTCAGAGACCGGATGTCAGCTCAAAGTTCTCAACGAGGTGGTTAATTATAATCCCGAAAGAAACTAAAACTACTGGCTAATAAACTGGATACATTGTTATTAATAAACACTTAACTATCAGTGATACAAAAATGACTTTAAAAATCAATATACATTGAGTTATAAAAAGTTTTCTCAATCAGACTGTTATGTTTTTGCCAATTTTTCATTTTGAATACCGCTGACAAGTGTAAGTTTTCAAACATCAGCTTCAAGTCCCATGGATACTCGATAATTCCAGAGTTCTATCGTATGAGTATGCATTGATAGGATCATTTTGTTTGCATACTTTTTAACTTCAGAATCTACCTTACAATAATAAATAAGGTTCAGTTGAATCGGCAAATATGAATCTCGCAGCGGGCGAGGTCGTGGATGCGCACTGCTGAGGAGTCCCACAGTAGGACGAAACGGCCGTCCAGTGCTTCCAGGTTTTCCATGGTGGTCTAGCTTTAACTGACTCATGATCTTAACCATTGAAATATGAAAGTAATATTTACCACCGCCTGGGGATTAATTTTACCGATTTATTTTAGATAGT